TTTACTATTTTTAAGTATGAAAAAGTAAAAGGCGTTTTATATTTAGAGAATATGGCATCAATAGAAAATCTACAAATTTGGCCCTTGTGTCGATTTTTGGCCAATATCTCCATCTGCTGAATGCGAGAAGTAACTCATTTTGTCAGCACACCTCACATATAGATATTCAGCAAACATATGTGATTATGTTGCACAAAAAAAGCGACACTGGAAGAAGATGGTACACAGGGACATGAGAGTATGCATGTGACAGATCCGTTATTTCAGACAAATAAATACATGATGATGCACATAATATGCACACACAACATACTGAAGCATACACTCGTAGATATACTATAAACGTACGTAAGTACGGTGCACAAAAACATTATACATACATGCTGAAACATAATGTGTGTCACGACATGGTGGAATCAAGCGCTCGTCAATTTTTGGACGAGTGGAATTATCGATATTATTTTAAAGTTTATTCTATTTTCTTGATCTACATGCGAAATATACAAATCTATCTTTAATATAAATCGTGATATTTGCTATTAAAGAAGTTGGGGGTCGCCTGGTTTCAGAGGTAAATTCGTGAGAGGATGAAGAGGAAAAGGAAGAGGAGAATAAGGTGGAGGAAGAAGTGACAAAAAACCCTTCTAAACACTCCTTACCTCAGTGTTGTGAGGATAACTGGATGGGTAGTTGGGTGAGGCGATGTATCCCTCATTGCTGTGGTACATTCCTCCACATCCTGCAGAAAGAAGAAATAGTTACATTTTTGTCTTAACGTTTGAGCTTTTAGTTTTAATAGAGGTTTTACGGCGCTCACAACTGCATAAGGTCATATGAGCGCCAGAAGATTAGAGGTGTTACAAGAGAGTAGAGAGTAACAAACATAAAAAAGAAGAAGGAAAGATAAGGACGATAGATGTTTGATAGGAAAGAAGAAGCAAACCACACCAGAACACCCGCCAACCACCCACATTTTAACTTTTATGTGTCAGTAAGAATTTACGGCATTTGCAACAAAAATAGGTCTTATAAATCAGTGGCGAAGATTGGACATGTTAGTGGAGAGTTTTTAGTTTAAGTAAGCTTTTTATGGCACTCGCAACACAATTAGGTCACATACATGCCAAAGACTATAGAGATTTTACAAGAAAGTAACAAACACAAGAGAGAAGAAGAACATATAGGGTATAGGGACAATAGATGTTTGATAGGAAAGAAGGAGCAAACCACATCAGTGCACCCGCCAACCAACCGCTTACTAGAGAGTAACATGCAAAGGAAAGAGTGAGGAGAGATAGGGACACAAGCTTGTGCGAGTATTTTATAACCAACACGAATGCAGTCCAAGACACATATATGCCACACATGCATGCACACATGCACACACACTCACACACTCAGACGCACATACACACACGTACATTAACACATACACAAACGAAATCTTAGTAAAGAGTTTTATAGCACTTGCAACACATTTAGTTCATTCAAATGCAGAAGATTAGATGTATTACAAAATTAAATAGTAATGAGCACAAAAAGAAGGAGACATAAAGCCGACAGACGCTTGATTAGAAAGAAGGAATGAGTAAACCACACTATAGCACCCACCAACAACCCACACACAGACACACAAAGTTTCAAAACCCTCAACAGGCCAACTAAAGGGGGGCTCTCGTGTCGGGGTCTAGAGGTACGGTGCTTGCCTCTCATTCAATAGGTCATGGGTTCAAAACCCGAACGCGTTAAAAAACACTGTCTGTTTTTGTTGTTTTAGTAGAGGTTTTACAGCGCTCGCAACTGCTTAAGGTAATATGAGCACCAAACACTTTCTTCTCTAAACTTTTCTTTTTTCACTTCCTTTCCTGTTCTCTAGACATGCTTTGTCATCTCATTTCATCTCCACTAATTCCTATCAAGACTGAAAATACTGTAGCCATTATAAAAAAACAACATTATAGAGTACCCCCGAAATTGGAATGTGGCTGCCTGAAGGCTAGAGACCCAACTAAGTTGGAAAAATGGTCATATACATAAAAATCAGAAGCACTGCAGTTTGAAAAACCAGCAGTGGACTACCCCTGAGATCTAGCAGGTTGAAGAAACAGCAGTCGACTACCCGACCCAGTAAAAAAGGGAAAGTTATAGACACATGACTACCCTTTTCCCTCCGTGACCTAACATTAACACACTCTACGGAACATTACAGCAACTGCAGTAAACCTGCACTTATCACTACATGACACTGGACAGAAGGGCGAGAGCCCAGCTGTTGCTGGATCGATAACAACAACAACAAAATAGAAACATGAACAAATATGCCTTATTATTTCCCATTTTGGGAGATGGAGGAGCTTCTGTATCAACAGGAACAATGACATGGAGTGAAATCAAGCGACTCGCCCAGGATACGGAAAGGTGGAAAGTGTTTGTCCATGGCCTATATCCTGATCCAGGGTTAGAAAGTATTTGTTTGAGGCCTATATCCTGATCCAGGGTGAGATCCTGATCCAGGGTGGGAAAGTGTTTGTTCGTGGCATTTATATCCTGATCCAGGGTGAGAAAGTGTTTGTTCGAGGCATTTATATCCTGATCCAGGGTGAGAAAGTGTTTGTTCGAGGCATTTATATCCTGATCCAGGGTGAGAAAGTGTTTGTTCGAGGCATTTATATCCTGATCCAGGGTGAGAAAGTGTTTGTTCGAGGCATTTATATCCTGATCCAGGGTGAGAAAGTGTTTGTTCGAGGCATTTATATCCTGATCCAGGGTGAGAAAGTGTTTGTTCGAGGCATTTATATCCTGATCCAGGGTGAGAAAGGCAATGATGATGATGATAATGACTACCCCTGATATCTTACAACAGAACGCAAAGAAAAAGAAGAAAAACACCACTGTCCCACTCACCTCCAGTATCGGCTGCATATCGGAGACGGAAACCTCTTGCGCTGAGCGAGAAGTCAGTTCGCATGGTGATGCGCACTTGGTTGCCCTGAGAGAAAATTTCTGGAGGCAGGCTGTTACCGCAGAACTGACCAATCTGGGGCGAGTCTGGCAGGCCGCCATTTTGGATTTGTAGATAGTCGTATTGGCAGTCCGTGTGGTTCTCGAATTGGAAGTCATCGAAGTTTATCTGTTGGGGCCGG